CCGAACCGTACGTACGTACCGTACTACCGTCGTCTCTCACTCTCTACTCTCTTTATATCTTCTTTCTTTCTTTCTTTTTTTTTTTTGTAAAATGAACCCTGAGAGATCAGAAGCCGCATTCTTAGTTAAACCAACATGATACGACAGCACGAGAGGAGAATACTGAGGACCCATGGAAATCGAGGTCCCAGTCTGGTTCAGGTTGTTTGTCTAGCCAGGATTGGAACCCAGGTTTGAAGGAGCCTATGTTTTCATCATTTGGGAGCCACAAATGCAACACCCTCGGGGTCTAGGAGAAGCCAGAAATCTGTCTTTTGATAGCTAATTCAAAAAAATTTTTTTAAATAAATCAGGAGTGTGGGTTTGCTCCAAATCCATCAGCCTATTGTTGCTTGGATAAGTGTCTTCTGCTCCTTGCTCGCACATCGACACTGCTGCCCCTCTTCGAGGCCCAGGACACAGGGAAGTTGGGTCCAGCTGGGGCCCAGACCAACCTTGCCTTCTCTGCTGTGTGACCTCAGGCGAGTGGCTGTCCTCTCTGAGCCGAAGCCCGCCTGACCCCTGCCTCTCTCTGCAGCAAGAGTGCTGTGGCACGTCAGGTCCCATGGACTGGGTGAACTTCACATCAGCCTTCCGGGCCACTACCCCGGAGGTGGTGTTCCCTTGGCCCCCACTGTGCTGTCGGCGGACTGGAAACTTCATCCCCCTCAATGAAGAAGGCTGCCGCCTGGGCCACTTGGACTACCTGTTCACCAAGGTGTGACCCTGCTCCCACTGTGTCTGCCCGTCTATCCAGCCCTCTCTAGGGTTCTTCTGTCTCTTCCTCCCTCCTACTGTCTGCCTGTCATCTCCCCCAACCATCTGGCTTCCTCTTCCTCTCCGCTCCCTCTAGCTCTCCCAACTCTCCATCTGTCCCTCCTTCCCTCTGCAAGCCGGCGGGGCGGGGTGCGGGGTGTACGCCGGTTCTGTCTGGTCCAGACCTGGCACCCGGGACTTTTCTCAGGTTGTTTGGGAAGAAGAGCAACAATAAAAATAGCAACAATGAAGAAGAGCAACACCAACAGCAGCCAACATGTACTGAGCCTTTACTTGGTACCAGGCACCCTTCGAAGTGCTTTGCATTTTTAACCTATTTAATTCTCGCCGCAGCCTCATGCGGTAAAGGTCATTGTGATCCCATGTTACAGATGGTGAACCTCGCTCGTGAGGGATGGATCTGGGATGTGATTTCAGGCAGTCAGGCCCCAACCAGGTGTTTTTTGTTGTTGTTGTTGGTTTGTTTGTTTTTAATAGATGGAAGACAACTTAATTGGAGCCTTTCATTTTTAATTCAGCGGGTTTTTTTCTTTTAACGGAGGTACCGAGGATTGAACCCAGGACCTCATACATGCTAAGCATGTGCTCTACCACGAAGCTATACCCCTAACCCCCAAGGTGTTTTAACTACTGCAAGGGAAGTGCAGGGGCAGAGAGAGAAGCCAGAGGAGGTTAGACTAGGAGGAGAACCGGTCCCAGTGGTCCCGCTGGCCACTCGTGGCTGCCTGGGGACCCTACAGGAGCATGTCTTAGATCAGGGGTCTTGGAGAGGGGAGCCAGCGTGCAAACAGTTTCTGCCATCAGCCATTTCTCTGGCCCTGGCTCTGTGCAGGATTCCAGGCATCATCTCCCAGAACCCCCACAGCTGCTTTCAGAGGGCAGTGCTGTCAGATGGCCACATCACAGAAGGGAAAAAAAGGGCAGAGAGTCAGAATCAGAATGCTTCACAGCCAACAAATGGCAGAGCTGGCCCCCACCTCAGTCCTGCCCGACCACAGGGCACACAGCCTGAACATCTGTTCCTGGCCGCTTCCACATCGGGCCAAGCAGGGGTCTACATGAAGGTGGCTGGTGTGGGGCTCTGGCCTGGCTAGACCTCACCTCTAAATGAGGCGGTGGGGGCTATAGCTCAGTGGTAGAGTGCATGCTTGCTGTGCATGAGGTCCTGGGTTCAATCCCCAGTGCCTCCAGTGCCTCCGTTAAGGAAAAAAAAAGTTAAAGAAAAAAAAACTGAACTGACCCTAAAGGCATATTTCAAACCCTTGGAACTTGTGGGCAGCATAGAAAGCTGGCCCTAAACAAAATCACCCCCAGACTGTCATAGCCACCATCCTGACAGCACCTGCTCGTGCAGGGCCTGGGTGCCGAGCTTGGGGTGACACCACATCCCTGGCTCCCTGAAACTACCCTGGTGGGTGGACACTGCCCTGATCTGCGTGGTGGGAAAGCCACACCCACCATGATCTTACAGGTAAGAAAACCAAGGCTGGAGAAAGGAAGCCACTTGCCCAAGGGCACACAGAGGCTCTTGCTTTCAGCAGCCAGCCTCCCTAGGCCTTTCCTCAAACCTCCGTTTCCCCCCTGCCCAGGGCTGCTTCGAACACATTGGCCATGCCATTGACAGCTACACGTGGGGCATCTCATGGTTTGGCTTTGCCATCCTGATGTGGACGGTGAGAGGCAGGGAGCCCAGGGGCTGAGTGGGATGTGGGTGTGGGGCTGGAGCGCCCCCCATCTGACTGTCTCCTTCCCAGCTCCCTGTGATGCTGCTCGCCATGTATTTCTACACCACGTTGTGAGGAACAAGAAGGCAAGGCCACGTGCGCAGCCCAGGCCTCCTCCTGCCCTACTTCCTCCGGCTGAGACCCGGAGGACCGCCTCACCTCTCCCCTTCCCACCCCCCCGTCTCTTCCCTCTTTCTACTCCAAAGACCCTTTACCAGGTTTCTGAGCCGTGTTGGAAGTTGGGGTGCCCTGAACCCCCTGGACATGTGTGCACAGACCCTTAGCCCTTAACCTCTTTTCACTTGGCTAATTCCTGGCCCATCTTTCGGTGTCAACTTAAAGTCCTGTCCTCAAGGAGCCCTTCCCTGACCCCCCACCCCGGTCACAGATGCCCCTCTTGTAGCCCCCTGAGCTCCTCCTTCACGGTCGATGTCGCCACCGTCACTGAATGGCAATGTGGTTGTCTATTTAAGCTCTGGTAGACTGAGACTGCCGTGTGGGGAGGGACAAGTTCTGTCATGGTCACTTTATTGTCCCCAGCATCGCCCAGCACAGGGCTGAGCACAGATACTCAATAAACACTGCTTGAATGTGTTGATTTGTTTTCTTATGAAGCAAAGGCAAATAAACAAGAACTCTTCCCATGAAAAGAGCAGAAACCCAACTGGCACTGTCTAAAACATCAAATGGAATTTACTAGCTCATGTAACTGAGTCAGTAGGGCTGGCTTCAGGCATGTTTGGATCCAGAGGTTCAGTCTCAGTTTCCAGGAAGCCCGTTTCATTCTCAGGCAGAATTTCTCTGGCAACACCAGACTTACACCTCCATAGCTCAGCAACACAACAGCAAGAAAGGGCCTCTTTCCCAATAGCTGTTGCCAAGGTCAGGGATGAAATCTCACTGTCTTGGTTTAGGTTCTAGGCCCACCCTTCGGTTGAGGAAGGGAGGGCACCTGGATTAACATTCTTGCTAAGGATGCATCCATGGGGGTGGTGTTGGGAGGGGGGTTGTTTAGCAAAGGAAAATCAGAGCAAGGGCTGCTGGGCCAGTGCAGGTGACAGACATCCTCCTACCAGGGGCTACAGCTTCCGGCAAGTTCTCTAGGGGTGCATGACAGCAGGTTTTGAAGCTCATCATTGCTCTTTTGTCCTCTCTGAAGCACGCCCGTGCTTTGGCCATTTCATAGCCATTAGGCCCTGCGTGGAGAGTTTGGCTTCCTTCCCCATCTAATGAAGTTTCTCAGGGTCCTCATTTACTCCACTGGTCGGCAGATGGTCTGAAAATGCTGAATTCAGATGTCAGCTTTTTTAAAATACACTGTTAAAAGATGTATAATGGTCAAATGTGTTAGGGTGAAAAATTCGAAACAACCTAACATTCATCGGGGGGAGGGATTGTAAGCTCATATCCTTGGACTAGAATTCTCTGTGGCTGTCAAAAAGACGAGAGGTCTATGTGAGCTGATAGAAAAAGATGTCATGATGGTATAGATAACTGGAAAGCACACATATAAGGATGTTCATTACAGTAACCTAAGTGAGCAACACCAGGCGACTGGTTCAATTAGCTGTGCTAGGTCTAGACTCCCGAATACCACACAGTAGTAAAAAATAATATTTTCACGTGGAAAAATCTCCAAGAAACGCAGAGTAGGAAAACTTCAGTACTTTTATTCCTGTAGATACATAAGCAGGGTTGGTCTTTTCTTTTTAAAGAAATGGGTCAAGGTTTGACACGACATTGTAAAATGACTATAACTCAATCAAAAAATGTTAAAAAAAAAAAGAAAGAAATGGGTCAAGGTTTTTAAAAATCATGTTTGAAAGAACAGCAATAGATAAACAATAAGGAACTACTGTACAGGACAGGGAACTGTATTCAATACCTTGTAATAACCTGTAATGAAAAAGAATATGACAAGGAATATGTATATAAAATGGAATCACTATGCTGTACCCCACAAATTAACACAATGTTGTAAACTGACTATATTTCAATAAAAAAATAAAATAAAGTAGGATACTGCTGGAAAGTAGTTTTCAAAACAAAACAAATAAAAAAGAATAGGGAAAATAGTTTTTACTCTTTTTTGTAGTATTTTTTCTTTTTTTGTCTTTTTTCTTTATTTTACTTTTCCTCTTTCTTTTTTTTTTTCTGTTTTTCTTTTTCATTGCGGGTTTTTTTGGGGCGGTTGGAAATACTTTTTAAAAAGCAAAAATCATTTGTAACTCTTCCACCTGAAAGATGATAAAAATTTAGAAATGGAAGTGTCCCATGTTCCACTCCCCAGTAAACTACCTCCCCCTCAAATCTGGTCCAACGCCGTAGATAACTGGTAACATGACAAATGTCCTTTTTGGCTTTTCAAACATTTATATCAACACATCTACATATACTTGCATAGTATAGATAGTATACTACACAACATACACATGTAATAGAATCATTTAAATATTGCTTTGCAACTTGTTTTCTTCACTTAACTATGTATTTTGGCCATTTTTCCATGTCAGCATGTATGAAATCACTTCTTTTTTAACTGCTGCAGTGTAGATGCATCCTAGGTCATCACGCTCTGCTGTAAGTAAACAAGGCAAGGAGCAGAACAATATGCATAAGTGATTGCATTTTTATAAAATTGACACATACATATTTCCTATGAAGGACTCCTTTGAGACGAGTATGTGATGCAAGGCCAAGAGGAAGGGGAATTTTCATATATATCTTTATAATGCTTGAAAAAAATTTCTGTAAAGATAACCTAATACATTTCTAAAACAAAAACTAGTAAAGGGGTTTCTAAAATACTAAGCAATATACAGCTTTGCTTTTCAAGCCAGAATGTTTTTAAAAGCCACATAGATGTTATACGTACCATATTTTAACACCCAACAGCCCTCCAGGTTAACCGGCCGAACAGGCTTTTCTGCAGGCCCTGGAATGAAACTTCTCCCCCTTCCCTGAGCACATATTTGACCACGTTGTAAACATGTCAAGCAAAGAGGGTACTTCGTTCCAATTTACTTTTAAATCCAGGTATGTGCTCATGAGCAAGTTCACAATGACCTAGTCTGTGACTCAGATTCCTTGAGAAAGGCAAAGAGGCAGTACTGGGTTCTCCCCATCCCCACCACCGTGTGCCCCTCTATAAAATGGGGGTCCTAGAAGTCCCTACCTTATAGCATAAGTTCCAGTACTTTCTAAGAGCTCAGGAACTCGTAGACCATTTTATTATGAATCAGAGATTTTCTCAATCCTGTGTAATCAGAATCAGATGCAGAAATTAAGAGTGATAGCTAAGAAGGCAATTGAGGAAATTAAGTGGAATGCTAATGATTACTCAGTGAAATCTAAAGAAGGCAAGGAGGGGGAGACAAAGGTGCAAAATGGAAAGTAATAGGGTGGTACACATACCTAATCATATAAAAATTACATTAAATATAAATGGACTAAACACTCCCTAATAAGGTTTTATTTTTTTTAAAGTGGCTGAGACAACTGGGTATTTGTCTGGGGAAAAAATAAATTTCAAATGCTTTCTCACTCTGAATAAAAACTTAAACTGGGGGAAAAAAACCCAAACTGCCAGGTAACTGCTGCTGCTGCATCCGGTAAACCCCAATTCCAAATGTGTGGGGCTCCACCATCCTCCCTGCGCTGAAGCTGATTCACTGAAGTGACTCACATATTTGTGCTTTAACAAGTCAAGTCATACCTGAAAATGCTTGGTGCTTTTGCTGAGAGATGTTTAACCCATGGGCTCAGCATATGTTAGAGTTAATACGATGCTTTTTGCCTGAGGGTCTTTAAAGAACATTTGTGGAGTTACTGGAGCTTGATACACATAAAATCACTTTTTCCCTTAAAAAAAATCACTCTGTAAAAGAATATTTAATGTCATAGGAAAATACCTGGGAAGTTGATAAATGAAAAAAGAAAGATTACAAAAAAGCATGCCAAGTATGATTGCTTTTCTGATAAAAACATAAATATATGTGTGTTTGTGTTAAAATTGTAAATCAAAGTCTCTCAAAGGTTGACATTGGTTATTAAGGAAGAGGAGACATTTGCAGGGGATTTTTATTTCATTCCTGGGGCATTTTGGTAATTTCCAAACATTCTATGACAACTAATCCTTTTGTCTTCCAACAAAAAATTCAAGAAATGCGTGTTAATAAAAATGTGACTGTGGGACATAAGATGTGCATTGAGAAAAGAATTATTTACTAAACATGTTCAAACTGTACCTGAGCAGCTAAGGCAGGTCAAGTCTCGTCAGACACTGGGGTCTTGGAGTCAAGCCGGTCTCTGGGCAGCAGGTAGGCAGGCTTCCACCTCTGCCCCACATCTGCCACTACCTCCTCTGGCTTCATCTGGTCACATATTTTGCAGAGTGCAGCTCAGCCAGACTGGCAGCAGTGTGGCCTGGCCAAGGCAGGCCTCAGGCAGCAGGACGGGTTTTTCTGCCTTGGCCCCTCCACTCAGAGGCCCATTCCTGTGGGTGAGAGGGGAACAAAGAGATGAGGGCCAAGTGAGGCTCCCAGGACCACGGAAGAGAGAGACAGCCACTCAGTGGCATTCCTACCACACTTCTACATGACCATATCTGTCCAGAGCTGCATCCAGCCTCTAACCTTCCATGGCTCCCCAGTGCCCTCAGCACAAAGTCCAACTCCTCAGCCTGGCACTGAGGGGCCCCTGTGGCTTGTCTTCTTGCCATCTCCGCACAAGCTTATCCCTTTCTTCTGTCCCACTGAGTCAACCTCTCTTTCACCATTGGAGATCATAGAATGGAAAGAATAAACTGATGTTATATAGCAATCAAGCAGGCACATGACTCTAACTACATCCTTCCATGAGGGTAAGTTGGCTGACTCACCAAAATGTAAAACTCACACCCCTTTGACCCACCTGATTCCAATTCTGGGAATCTATTCCGCACATACACTCATGAGCGTGCACAAAGACTAGGGTAACTGAAAAGTAATAAATGAGAAATAGCCTAAATCAAATCAGAAGAGAACTAGTTATAGAATTCATTTTTTCACACCGTGAAATACTGTGCAGCTAAGTTTAAAGGGAGCTACATGTATATTTGCTGATATGAAATAATCTCCAAGACAGATTGTTCACTGAGAAAAATGCAAAGTGCAAAAACTGAATGTATGCTAAATGCAACGTGGTACCCTAGACTGGATCCTCAGGAGAAAAGACATTAGTGGGAAAACTAGTTGCAATCTGAATAAAGTCCAGAGTTTAGTTAATGGTCTTGTAATGTTAATGGTGTTAATTTCTTGGTTTTGATAAACATACCATGGCTATGTAATACTTTAACATTAGGGGAAACTGGGTGAAGGGTATACAAGAATTCTCTGTACTATCTTTGTGCCTTTTCTGTAAATCTAAAAACCTTTCCATCATTCTAAGTGAAGTAAGCCAGAAAGAGAAAGAAAAATACCACATGATATCACTCATATGTGGAATCTAAAAAAAGAAAAAAGAAGACACTAATGAACTCATCTACAAAACAGAAACAGACTCACAGACATAGTAAA